TTTTTTTTATTTGATTGGTTGAATCGATTAATTAATTGCGCATTTTTATTGAAATTTTAAAAAATTGTAATTTTTCTTGTATGTAATTCAATGATTATTTTATTTTTTTTTTTATTTTTTTAACGTTATTAAACATATTAAAATTTTAACATTTTTATTTAATTTTGCATTTTTTTTAATATGATTTAAATAATGTTAATTCTTTAATTCTCCGCCATTGGTTTACTGAATATTTGAGCATACCGTGCCATTTTATTATTCATCTCTTCGAATTCCTCAGATTTCAAAGCGAATGGATGTGTCCGTTTCGAATATAAATGTTGTTATTGGTAATTACCAAGAATTATTGGTATCGGAATAAAAAATTCCCGTTTGAGGATTTATTTTCGCCAACCTGGCTTTCCTAATCAAAGATTTATTTATAAATTGTTAACAGCGTCAGAGGAAATCTATTTTAAATTTTTGGAGAAAACATGTCTAGTTGGTTCTTCAATGAAGTGTGAGATAGGTGGATCATACAGATGAAGATCGTTAGCGGAACTTTCTTTTTTTTTGTGGTACTTATCAATATAAGACAGGTTAAAAAATGTAAGTACATAATTTTCTTTTACTTCATAACTGTATGCTTCAATTTTTATTAAAAAATTAATACAATGTTTTAAAAAATTCCTGAGATATTTATTACCGCATATGTTTTAATGTTAAATAATTAAATCCTAGAAAACTTATTTTAAAGTATTTAAGTAATATTTTAATTCTTTTGAACGTTGGTATGATGTTTTTAATTCGATATTCAATTTAAGTAATATTTTAATCCAATTAAATGTTGCGCAACGTTTTAACAGCGGTGTTTTTATTCTATTATATGAAAGTAATAATTTAACCTTACTTTATTTTTTATTTTATAGTCTTAGTAAATGTATTTATTTACATTTGCCAGCCATCTTAAAAAACAACGTTTTCAACCAAAAATTAATCCATTATTTTTAACGATATTTATTTTTTTTTAATTTCGAATACTTTACTATATGCGTAAAATACGTAAAAACAGCATTTTTCAAGATGGCTGACGACTGTAAAAACCGCGCCAACCATTGCGCCAATGTAAATCGCCAAAAATCTGTGCAACCGTCTACCAAAGTAGCACCCGCAATGGCATATAAGACGCACCTTTATTTAAACGACCACACACAAGGAAAAAAAGTTTCAATAGCGTGGTTTCTTTTAGTTCTCATGTTTCGTAAAAGCCAAATAAACAATTATTGAGTGCAATTACCTTCACGTAGAAGACGCAGGTAACTTTTTTGAAACCAAATTTAGGAAAAAAAGTGCGTCTTATATGCCGTCAAATAGGGTTCTATGTATTTTTGTGGATTTTTATTTTAGTAGCGAAAAATGTAGTTCTATTTTTTACGTACATTTATGCCATGTTTACATTAAAGATTTCCTTTCTCCAGGCTTCCTGTAACAGGTTTTATAATGTACAAATCTGAAGTCACAGCATTCTCTTCTCGAAAACTCCGAAATTCTTCTCTTGAAGCTACTGAGTGTTCTTGTTCTTATCAATAATATTCTGTGCAAATCTGTTTCTAGTTCGTCTAATGATCACATTAATGTATTGAAACATCTTTTAGTAACTCTATAGATAAAAATAATACGATACACAGATAAGTCATCCTGTAATCTTACAAATGAGTAATGAACATGATTGATCTGTGCTCGAAGCAATGGTTCGTGGATGGTAGATTTCAGGGATTACAGGCAGACAATTTCTGCAGCCTATTAATTACAACTCATCAAAGCAGTTTAATTGTCATTGGTAGAAATTTCATTGAAAGTTTCAAGCTGTGCAGTTCTTAGTGATTAGCTTAAAAATATAAAGTAATGCATACTATTTTAATAACAGACACATTTTCAAGGAGTAAGGTTGGATTTGCATCAGTATAAAATTAATGTAATCTTATTTTAAACTTAAATTAAGAAAAGTATTAGGTACTTTTCCGTTTCGCCGGCGCAAATCTCGCCAAGCAGACTTTATTGGCGACAACACATTGTATACACATAAAAAATATTTAAAAAATGTTAGTTCTAAGAATTCTCTTTTTGAAGGCATAAACATTTTAATATCGTTTAAAAACTTATAAAAATCCAATAAATAAAGACAATAAATTTGTAAAAAGACATTAATTTAAGAATTTACTATGCTTTCATGGTTCAACATACTAATTCGCCGGTTCATATCACGTGACCCCAAGCGATCTCATCACACGTAAACTACTCTACAAAAATCTAATGCTCTCAGTAATTATCTACATTAATTTCAAGTTAAATCTTAATTTGGAACACAAGTTTAAATGCAAGAAATATTTCAATGCGTACGAATAGCTTACTCAGAAATTATGTAAAACTCCAGTGCTTAACTTCACTAATGCATTCTCATTAGAATTGATGAAATTAAACCCTTGACTTTCCTTTTCTATATTTTCGGCTTCGGGTAAGCGCTGTGATTGCATCCTAATTGACTTAATTACCGAAAATGGCCTTAGACATAAACTGAACTATCTGATAAAATTCTATGTAATAATATGCCAGCATTGAAAGAAACAATCAATTTGATAAGAAAAAGCTGCGACTTGTTTTGAAAATGAGGCGTAAAAGGTTACCAGCGAGAATATTCCGTTTGGCATCGGTTGTACCATTATTGGCGACTTTATCGCTTGCGCCGGCAAAACGGAAAAGTACCAAGTATTAAATTGAATTATTTAGGATGATATTAGAACCCTCTTAGGTACTTACGTATTATCGCAACCAGGTTGGCGCGATTTGTAAGTTTGAGTAAAAAAGTATGAATAGAAAGAAAATGTACAATTATTAATTACAGATAATTTTAATACAGTTTTTTATATTATTTTGTTTTAAAATATAAAATAGCAATTAAACCAACAGTTCCATGCAGAAATCCAGCATTTTCGAACTCACTTGTATTGTATCCTTTCCAGCAATCCGAATAAATGATGCTTCCTTCCTTGATATTTTCGCAAATTTTTTCCATGAGGGTAACGGCGCTTCTGTTAGGTATAGTAACCAAAAAAGTCTCTTTTTTTGGCAAATTCCACCGAAAACCCATTGCTGTGATAGTACACGCGTACGGTTGCCGTAAGTAGGGTCGCCAAATTTGGCGATTTATGCGAATTTTGGCCTGGTTGCGTTAATACGTAAGTTCCTATTCTTATCTTAAATTATATCGTATTATAAGATTAAAATATGTCGAAAGGTATCTGTAGTTCGAATTTCAAGAACAGTCATCACAAGAACTGTAGGACTGTTAAAACAGACTAATATTTGTATAGAATCCCAGTATCTGACTCCTATAGATTTAGAACCGATTTCCATAATTTAACTACGAATTAAAAAATCTGATGTGTACACCACATGACTTCCTTGTACGGAATATTAAATTATACGCATTTTTTTCTTGAATTTCATTTAAATTGATTGGATTGAATTAAATCTACTTCGTCGACAGCGCATAAACCACAATAAAATAAATGCACTCTTTAAAATTCACTCTATTTGTTTACCGTAACGACACTCTGAATGCACAAAAATTTATACCATTTGAGGAATTATCGTTGCCACATGTTCTATTCAAATACTATAATAAAGCTAAAACGATGTATGAAAGAAATTAAGCAAACAAAGCAGAAAAGAAACAGTTTTTCACAGACGATTTAGTATTTCTCCTTCAATTAATTCAGTTCTCACTTCGCGACAAGGCAAAAAATACATAAAAAATCAAAATATCTGTATTAAAAATTACGAAGTAAATCTTAAACACTTATTTCCTCGAAAAATTTCCAGAAAGGATTAAGCATGATTTAATTCGCAATAATAAATGAGGGCGTTATTTTTGTGTTGCGAAGCTTAGTCTCAGTATATTGGCAACAAATCTACAATTCTGCTGTTTCAAATGTAAACAAATATGTCCGCCATGTTACTTAAAACTTAACCGCACTTAAACAGCTTTTAAATTGTTGATAACTGTACAAATATTGCTTCCAGAATTACAATTTACAAACATATAAGAGTAAAGAAACTGAGATCACTGAGTTCACTGAGTCGGGTAACAGAGTGGATATATATATATAAATATATTAATATACGTGTGGTGCGGCCGATTGCAACCAAAATACGAGGTGCACATCTACGTGTTATAGCAATCCTATGTACAAATTTTCAACGTTCTGAGGCTACTCGTTTTAGAGTTATGCAAGATACGTTCGTACAGACGTCACGAAAAATTCTCTTCAGAATTAATTTTAAAGCAGTTTTATCATTTTTTTTGGAGGAAAAGAGTCTTTTATTCTGTCCTTACGTACAGATATCACGCAAAAAGATCGTTAAATTGCATTCGATAGTGGTCAAAATGGATATTTTCATTGAAATATGCTGCCTGAAACTTTTCGAGATTACAATGCTTCCTTTTTACTTCGTACAAGGAAGTAAAAGCAAAAAATTACCTCTTTTTGTATCCAAGTGAACAAAATATTCATAAGTAAAGTTAATTTAGCATTTGGGATTTTTTCTGACAAACGGTTTTCAAGCCAAAGCCTAGGAAGTATTTAATGGTGAGATACATATATCCCACACGTAGCGATCGACACCTATTATTCCGGAAAACTTTAATGCATGAAATAGATTTTACATGATATGGTACGGGGTAAAGCATTCTTAGCAAAACCTAACATAACAAAATGCCAACATCGGGCAACTCAGTATTTGTTCTTTTCTCTGTGTTCATTTGTGTACAACGAGTACGGTGTCGTCTTGATTTTCCAAATATTGGAAAATGATTCTCAACATTCAGGAGATGCTACGTACTTTTTAGCCCAGCTGTAATTTTTAAACTTTTAGTGAGGCATATAATGTCCCATTACGTCAAAGTCAAAGAATCAAACTAGTCAAAGAGATAAAATTAGTCAAAGAGATAAAATACATACTTATTGTATAAGACAATGTCTGGCAGCCATATCTTCTCACAAGGAATTCTTATCTTGGTCAAATTCCCATACTCTTCAGGATTCCAACTCAAATAGTCGTCCATCCATTCCTAAAATAAAGAGATAGATATCAAAGAAGGTTGCTCAAATTGAACGTCTGATTTCTTTAAATAATAGCTATTTAAAAAAAATGTTATAATAAAATTATGCGGATGTATTGCAAAGCATGGAAAACTCCCCAGTGAAGTTTGCAAGGACTCGCTTGATGATCCAAACTTAACAATGTTACCTAGGGAGATAAAATAGTTCAATTGTTTTTATAAAGAAGTTGTTTAGCTATCTCAACATTTATTTCTCTTTGTAGAATACTTTCAAATGAAATGCTTCCTTGGAGGACAAAATAATACGAGCCTCTGTGAAAAAGTATAACGTACTTCACACCTGCAGTACAGCTGCGCCACCTGCAACATAAGTCTGCCAACTAGTGAGCGTGAAGAGGAAGGTATCAGTCTCTCAACAGCAGTCACCTGCGTTGCATGCTTACATCGAACTGTCTGTGAGAAGTTGAAGTGTCAGACCTGTTAGAGTTCCAAAGAGGAATGATAGTTGGAGCGCGTTTAAGTGAAGCATCGGTTACGGAAACAGCAAACCTTGTGGGGTGGGCAAGAAATACGATATCAGCCTTTATGACAGAGTACACGAAAGAGGGTAAGACGACGTCTTCAAAGCACAACAGTGGCCAAACTCAAAGCTGGCTGATAGGGATAGACGGGTCTTGAAGCGAATAGTAGCCCGAAAGCACAAGCAATCTGCAACATAAGTCTGCCAACTAGTGAGCGTGAAGAGGAAGGTATCAGTCTCTCAACTGCAGTCACCTGCGTTGCATGCTTAGATCGAACTGTCTGTGAGAAGTTGAAATGTCAGACCTGTTAGAGTTCCAAAGAGGAATGATAGTTGGAGCGCGTTTAAGTGAAGCATCGGTTACGGAAACAGCAAACCTTGTGGGGTGGGCAAGAAATACGATATCAGCCTTTATGACAGAGTACACGAAAGAGGGTAAGACGACGTCTTCAAAGCACAACAGTGGCCAAACTCAAAGCTGGCTGATAGGGATAGACGGGTCTTGAAGCGAATAGTAGCCCGAAAGCACAAGCAATCTGCAACATAAATCTGCCAACTAGTGAGCGTGAAGAGGAAGGTATCAGTCTCTCAACAGCAGTCACCTGAGTTGCATGCTTACATCGAACTGTCTGTGAGAAGTTGAAGTGTCAGACCTGTTAGAGTTCCAAAGAGGAATGATAGTTGGAGCGCGTTTAAGTGAAGCATCGGTTACGGAAACAGCAAATCTTGTGGGGTGTGCAAGAAATACGGTATCAGCCTTTATGACAGCGTACACGTACGTAAAGAGGGTAAGACGACATCTTCAAAGCACAACAGTGGCCAAACTCAAAGCTGGCTGATAGGGATAGAGGGGTCTTGAAGCGAATAGTAGCCCGAAAGCACAAGCAATCTTTATCCGAGATAACATCCGAAATGAACAGTCATCTCCAGGATTCCGTTTCAACAAAAACTGTCAAAAGGGAACTTCATGCTGCGAACATTTATGGCAGAGTGGCAATTCGTAAACCTTGGTGACAGCAACTAATGCTTTCAAGCGACGCCAATGGTGCAGAGATCACAAAGGCTGGCCCCACAGCAGTGGCAACAGGTGATATGGTGAGATAAATCGTCATTCATCCTATTTCAGACGACCGGACGCGTTTATGTCTGGAGAACGTCCAAAGAAGCGTTTTATCCTGACTGCCTCTTGCTGACTGTGAAGCATGGGGGGTGGTACCATTATGTTATGGGGTGCGATATCTTGGTGCGGCCTTGGACCACTAGTTATTCTGCATGGGAGGATCACATCTAACCACTACCTAAGCGTTCCAGGGGATCATGTCCATCCTCTTGTCCACACTGTATTCTCTGGGGAGCGAGCGTTATTTCAAGACGACAACGCCCCTATCCACAATGCTAAGTGTATTCAAGAATGATTCGAATACCATGACGCTTGGCCCCCTCAGTCTCCGGGGGCGCTGTCGTTCAAAACGACAGCGCCCCTATCCACACTTCTAGGTGTATTCAAGAATGGTTCGAAGAACATGGCGACGCAATTGAACATCTCGCTTGGTCCCCTCAGTCTCCGGACATGAATATTATTGAACATTTATGGTCATATTTGGAGTCCAAACTTCGTTCCCGATTTCCACCTCCATCCGGTCTTTCGGGATTAGAGACCGCTCTGCAGGTGGAATGGCTTAATATTCCTTTAAATACTGTCCATGACCTTTATGCATCTATCCCATGTCGCATTCAATCGAAAGGTCGTCCAACCTGTGTTAATAAAGACTTTCCATTATTTCACAGGTGTTGGATTATTTTGTCCTCCATCTGAAGATGTATATATTAAAAAAAAATATTTAATTTGTTTTCTAACACTCATGACAAAACGGCTCTGTCCATTGCAAATTTGGAAATATGTGTGGCTTGAATTCTCTGCAGCCTTCTCTACCAATCTGAAGCAGTTTTAAAAAGTCGTCGAAAATATCGAGGTAAAAAATAAAGTGCTTACGCATGCATGCGTTTTTCAAATCGCATAGTATGCAACTGACTTTCGTCGTAACTAACAAATCACCATCCAAAAAAATTGATTGCTCGCTATACATGAAATTCATGTTATATCATGTTATATTCGTTACATATGTAGAGGTAACGTCATGCAGTTATTTATCTTCCTTTTTCTAAGAATTTTTAGACTGTATTTTTCACGAAAAATTACCAATTAAACTTTATAAAAAAAAGCTTAATTTATTAATGACCTTTGTTAGTTAACTATATAAATTTAAAATTCTACTAAGTTTTTTAAGTTGAATTAACTTTCTGCTCATTTGCAATTTTTAAATGATTAAGTTTTCTTATTTTTTTAGCAAAAGTTTATTAGTTCGTTCAAATATATGAAAGATAGAAGTAAAAGGATCCCTCTTTCCTTCTTGCGCTCTATGATCTTCATACTAACATGCATTTACAACTTTCAAAACCTGAAAATGCATGTCTGCGATATTATCGTCATGCGATGATTTGTAGGTACTTTATTTTTTACCACGATATTTTTGACGACGATGTTTTTATACTGCGAAGTTTTTGAACCGCTTTATTTTGTACCATGATGGTTTAGAACTGCGATGCTTCTTTTATGGTTTAGAACTGCGATGCCTCTTTGCTTTCTTTTCTCCCACGATGCTTTGCACCACGATGCTTTGCACCACGACGTTTTCTCCTTGCGTTGTTTTCTCCGCGACGTTTTCGGCAGCCACCGTAAGGGCAAATATAATGAGAATGCGAATTATTACTTTCTCTCTGAAACGCATTGCTTTGGATGCAGCAGCAAGAAAACTGTCTTAAATGATGATAAAGATGTATTTTAGTTTTTATCGACTATTATACTTCCTGCCAATCAATCTATACATATAGGTAACAGAGGTAATGTGACCGAAAATTCGATAGTGAGTTTTCAGAGGCCTCTCACAAAACGTTTTTTAATCTTTTTACAAGCGTTTTTACTCACAAACGTTTTTACTTTTGTGTGTCTGTATATGATGACTTTTTCGTACAAGGCAATTCCTGCATGAAACGTTCAAAAATTTATATTTTCTGTATTTTAAGCTTTCTACATTTATCAAATGAGTTCATTAGATTTGAGTTAAACTGAGCAGTTGAAAGTGGTACTTATAAGAAATCCATAACATTCTTTAATGACAAATGGGAGTGGTACTTTATTTGAAATAATTTCCGTAAACATTACGCTGAGTTCATAAATAAACTTTTGCATTAAAGATATTATGAACAGTCCATAAATTAACTTTCGTAATTCAAATGCTGTGGAATGAAATTCAAATATTTAAATACATCCAGCCATATTGTATTAAATTGATTAAGGGAATGGTGGACTTTAAAAATTTGTCTTTTACGTTTTTGTGTTTTCAACGAGAAATTTTATACATATTATAACATCAGTTTATAAAATATATGCTCAAAATTTCAATTTATTTTAAATTTAAAAAAATGTAAAACAAATAATTTATTATTTTAATTAAAGATTTCAAATGCTCCTTGCGCGCTAATTTTCAATATTTTTTCCCAATTTTTTCCTTTAAGTAAGTTATAAAGACTTGAAAAAAGTTTTTGTGTATCCTTTATTGAATATGATGGATCAGAAATTTTAAAAATGATTTTTGTGAATTTAAACCCAGTTTTCGGAAAAAAGTCACCTTTTGTTAAACATTATCACAAGTTTAAACTTCTTAATAACCTCATATCCAAAAATGCATATACAGATCTACTGTAACATATAACAAGATAGTTTCTTCCAAATATCATTCATTTTTTAACTAAAAATGAGACGCTTGGAGCATTTCCAAGACAGGGCCCATCAGCGGCCGAGCGATAAAACCGCTGAAAACTGGTAGTTCGCTCCGAATCTCGCAAATGGGCTGGCTGCATGGACGTTTTCGTGGTTTTCATGTGTAACGTGAGCCAGTTTCCCTTAGAACGTCCTCCACGAAGGCATCCCTCAGGCAGATAGCCCTAGTGTGCTTTGCTGTATTCTCAATATACCACCACCATTTCCAAGACATATGAACTGCGAAAAAATTTGTTTTGAGAAAACCGAATTTAAAGTTTTCCTTCAAACTTACCTTTAATACATTGCACGAGAAACAGAAAATTAATTTAAATATGAATATATAGACACTGGATAACATTTTCGTATCATTTAACTATTTTTAATCTCGTAATATTAAATTTGAGAAATATAAACATATCGCAAATTTGTATGTGTTTCGAAGTTAGAGGTAGAAACAATTTATGCATTATATCCAATGAAAATTTTAAAAATTCACCAGCATCATATGTTTTACCTTCATTTTTTACATTATTTTTTAATGCCTTACAATATATTTTACTATTTCTGTTTTTTCGAAGCGGGTAAACTTCTCTAATAACAACAGTTGAAATAATAGTTGTAAATAACAGTTGAAATACATTTTTTTACATTTGCATTAAGCTACGT